TTCTCCTATCCCCTTCCTTTCAAAAAATTATTTTCACTAAGCAACTCTTCTGCTGTTCTGTAAACTTATTTCAAACATGCTGTTTTCAAAACTGTTTCAAGCACTCTCAACATGAACTCTTAGATCATTAGGTTCTGCCCCTTTTGTGTGAGCCTTGCTTTGGGACCCTTGAGGTCCCTCTGAATTTGGACACATAAGAGGTGGCCCTTCCACACTGCACTTACTCTTGGTTATGCAATCTAGGTGTGAGCATTGCCCGGGACACCTTGAGGTCCTTAGGGAACTCTGACACACCCAGATATGAGAAAGTCTATGGAACAATCTTGGCATTTGAGGTGGTTTATTAAATCATCTAAGGGAATGGGACTATGGCCGAGGACAAGTCAACATGGCGGTAACTCTACCTAGAATTTTGGATGTTCTGAGATCTAGGTTCAAGGAGCTCAAACAAAGTTGTGATTGACCGGTTCAACATTGTCAAAGTAAAATCTTTGGTCCCTTCTCGTGATGAAGACAATGTTCAGTAACAAGGATAGAACTTTACACGTTCTTTAATGATTACCTAAGTTTGATGTGGTAGTTATCAAATAGTGTCAATCTAAAGGATTACACGTTTAGGAATCACCTATGTAAGTGTGAAGTAGAAGCCGCTTCAATGAGAATTCTGTAAGGCCAATTCTCTACGCACTTATGAGACCAGGCGGTGTTCATGGCTGAAACGAACACAACAATGAGAACTAAAAGACGGTTAAGGGTTGATTATGTGACATATGGTTGTCTAGGTATACACTAAAGTTCGACGGTTCACAGATATCAAATTTACCGATTGACCGAGTATATCCGACATATGTTCACTACGGAAAGTTCAAAGGGAAACCTACTTATCCAGATGCAATTAATCCTTACTTGCAAATCACACAGCTTTCATCTATGATCTTTCTTGATATAGCCATTCCCATTCATGTGGGGGATTGTTGGACTTTAAGCCATTGGGCTTTAAAGTAGAAGAAGTGTGAATTGGAAATGGAGGGAAAAATAAAAATTTGAAGAAGTGAACTTTTGTCTTGCACTTTGTCCCTCATTGGTGAGGGATAATCACATTTGTGTGCTTATATATAGAATCACTTCTTAAAGCTCTTAAAAGGAGTTGAAGAGAATGAACCCTCGCGCCGTCGTCGTCGCTCGCTCGGCTCGGCTTCGGCTTCGGCTTCGGCTTCGGCTTCGGCTTTGGATTTGGATTTGGATTTGGATTTGTCAAATGATCGATCAATAAGATTATTTTTGGACAAAATTTATTTAATTATTTAATAATTAATTAAATGCCAAATCACTGCTGAAAATACGCTAGAACCTTGCTGAAGATTCAGAGGGACTCTCTGGCGCGGTTCTACCGTAACCGCGGTAGAACCGCGGCAGGCAGCGTATTCTTCTGAAAAGGCATCTTTTCCAGACACCTCTTCTGATAATTGCCTATAAATTCTGAGGCAAGGCTCTATTTTCTACACACGAAAAACACTCCAGAACTTCTTTCTTTTTGAATATACTGCATCCTAATTCGCAGTCTCTCTCTCTCTGATTCGTAAGTGTGATTTTGCTCCGTTCTTTGAGATCGTTGGGATCCTGCAGTTTGTATTGCCACTGTTGCAGGAAGGTTTATTCCGTTTATCCTGGGAGGATTTAATCCATTACCTTGGCAACTTGTGAGGGGGTTAAAATTCCTTAAGGACACACAAGAAACTTGTGGACTCGAAATATTTCTGATTCTATACTATTTTCCAGATTTCTTTAATTCTTCTAACAGTTATTTTTCTGATTTTGCGTTTTAACGCAGTAACGCTCACAACACTTCCTTTTTGAGATCTGCACTTTTAAATTATTGCCAATAGCAATGTTTCCGTACGTTGGGGAATCGAAAAAGAATAATAAATTTATTTTAGGTCTTCTAAACGTTAATTAATGAACATTATGAATTGGTTGTGAATAACAATACATAAGGATAAAGGGGGAAAAATCCAAGATTTTACTTTAGACAAGATGGCATTTAGCAAACTCCTAGCTGTATAACTATAATATTCATACTTAAAAAGCTGTGGGAGGAAAAAGTAATAAAACTATCATTTCTTAATATGTACATGAATATTACAATATCAGCAAAATGAGTTATGAGTATTTGCTTTTCAAGTATCTGAATCTCAGACACGTGAGCATTAGAGCAACGGTAAAGTTATTCTCGTATGACCTATGGATCACGAGTTCGAGTCATGAAATCAGCCACAGATGGTTGCATTAGGGAAGACTGCCTACACCATATCCTTCGGGGTGCGACTCTTCCGAAATTCTGTGTGAACGCAGAATGCTTCGTGCGTTGGACTACCTTTTAAATCTCCGGTATCGTTAGGGTTTCTAACACTCTTTTAAATGTTATCAGACTAGCAATATTACTATTCTCCGCTGTTCTATTTATATAAAAGTTCTAACTAGACACACCTAATTTAAGAAAAAGAAAAGGATTTTTAAAAATTTATAATTTTAAATATGCCATAATATATTTGTACTGATTTGGCCACACAGCCAGCTGACTGTTAATAAGGAGAAATTCAAACATAGCCAGATTTACAAGTGATCATAAAAAATAGCCACAGTTTCAAAAGTCATCGAAATTTAGCCATTTTTCATGTAAAGATAAATCTGAACGAAAACACTGTTCGAAATCCGGAAAATACTCCAGCATAATATACTGGAACTCTAGTATATTATACTGGAGTTCCAGCATACTTTGCTGGAACTCCAGTATATTATATTGGAGCTCTAGCAAAGTATACTAGAACTCTAGTATATTATACTGGAGCCAGCAAAGTATACCGGTCCAGCATAATATGCTGAAAGTTCATACACATGTGCACCGAACTCCAGTATATTATGTTGGGCCGGTCTCTGTTGCGCAAAAATAGTGGCTATTTTTCAATGACTTGGCAAACGCTGACTATTTTTGAATGACCAGTCCAAAAACTGGCTAGCCCGTGCTATTGACATGGTACTCCAATCATTTTCCCCATAATCCAACTTATTAATATAGTATGAGCTTTTAAAAATTTTAATTAATGAAATATGAATATTATCCTCAGTGTATACTGTTATAATCAGTATATTCAGGCAAACTTAATACCCATACACTTGTATACACTAAGTATACATTTAGGATACATTGAATAAGGAAGAATCTTCTATGTTTTCTTGCCTTTCAAAAGATTAGAGATGCAAAGGGCCCCTTTTACTATTAGATAAGTCAGGGACGGCTCAATGAATTGGGTGGCCTAAAGCCAAACCATAATAAAAGGCCCGTAAGCTTATTTAATAAAATCCATATACCAATAACTAATGAGCCACAAAAAATGTACTTTATGATCGATAGACAAATCAAACAAGATAAAATACTAAATAACTAATTCATAGGAGCTAAAATTAGAAAGGAAAATGGTCGGGAAAAAAAAAATGAAATTGTTGTGCCTAGAGAAGAAAAAAATTAGAGTTGAAGAAGGAAGGTGAAAAAATGTACTAAACAACGAACAATAACAACTATACCAAATTCAGTATAATTTTACAAGTGGATACGCAGACCTTTCACCTACCTAGAAGGTAGAAAAGTTATTTTCGATAGATCCCTGGCTCAAAAAAAGATGAAAAAAATCAGTAGCAACAAGCAGTAACAACAACAAGATAATAAGAAAATGAAACGAAGTGAACAAATCACGAACTAAATAATGAAATAGAAATAAATTTTCCATAATCTACTCACTCAGTAGAATAGTTTCAACCAAATTCAAAAAGTAAAAAAAAAAAATATATATTTTGTGACCTTAAATGGTAATTTATAAATTATTCCATCATAATAATAATAATAATAATAATAATAATAATAACAATGATGATGATGATGATGATGATGGTGGTGATGATGATGATGATATATTGGGGCCTTCTATATTTTGAGGCCTCAAGCGGTGGCTTCATCCGCTTCATCCTTAAGCCGGCGCTGAGATGAGTGGCAATTGCGCAGCTTTAGAATTAGATATGACAAATCTAATACTGTTTATGTTAATTAATTAATTGTACAAAGCTTAGGACTGAAAGTGATGTACTTATTAGCTTCTACGGGGTGATATCAAAAAATAACCAGATTTATAAGTGGTGATTGAAAAATAGCCACAGTTTTCACTTTTTATATAAAGATAAATCTAAACGAAAACACTGTTTAAAATCCGGAAAATATTCCAGCATAATATACTGGAGTTCTAGTATAATATACTGGTCCAGCATAATATGCTGGGGCTCCAATCTCCAGTATATTATGCTGTAACTTTCCGTGTGTTGGAGTTCCAGCACAAATCTCCAGTATATTATGCTGGAACTTTTCGTGTTGCAGCAAAATAGTGACTATTTTTTAATAACTTTGCAAATGCTGACTATTTTTTAATTACCAGTCCGATGGCTAGCCCGTGCTATTTTCACGCTTCTACGTCCAGTTTTTGAAATATTGATCCTGTTATATAACTAATACTAATTTTTCCACTACATTTGTTTCATAGAATGCGTGCATTAACTAAATTCTTTCAATATTTCAAATTAGGGGATATTACTGCTTTAATTTTCATTTATCTATTTTTCTTCCATTAATTTGATAAAAATGAGAATTGTGCGGAAAAAAACACGAGAAAAATAAGAAAGAAGAAATAAAAATGGAAGACGTTAAGCTAATAAAAAAATGATAGATATTAATACAACCGCTTATTTATTACACAACACTGAACTAGAGACTCAGAAAGGGACACACACAAAGAGGAAAAAAGAAATACAAATGGACCAATAAGTAATTAAGATCAAAGAAGAAAATCCCATCTCTTATTCTTCTTCTCCTCATTATTGCATACTACCAAATTGTGCGGTTGTAAACTTAGATCTTTCTTCATCCTTTTACACGACCCTGCATCACAAAATCGAACAAGTGCAAATCAATATACAAACTGAGAGAACATTGACACCACTAGTTTAGCTAGTTTGCAAGTGTTACTTGATCAAAATTAATCATCCTTCTCATATTTCGTCTCATTTCACTCTTCAATGGAGAGATTTATAGCATGTTTGGTCGTGCTTCGTTTTGGCCAGAAGTGTTTTTTTCAAAGTTAAGGTCTTTGACCAAGCTCTTAGAAGAAAAAAAAAAAAGGTACTTCATAAGCAGTTTTGGAAAAGCAAAACGAGTAACTTTTTCTTATAAATTCACTTAGAAGTACTTTTTAGAAGCTTGCACAAACACTAATTGCTGCTCAAAAGTGCTTTTTAAATTGATTAGCCAAACACAAACTGTTTTTCGCTAAAAGTACATATTTGGAAAGCATTTTTGAGAAAAGCACTTTTTAAAATAAACTGATCTTAGATGCACGGCCAAACAAGCTACTATTAGTCCTATCTCATAATTTGGCCCACGTACGTGATTGTTAGCACTAAACTAATTCATATTTTCAATAGTACTACTTCTCTTAATTAATGTGCGGAAACAAATTAAAAGTGAAGAAGAAAATTACTTTTTTGGTATATATATATATATATATATATATATATATATATATATATATATATATATATATATATATATATATATAT